CAATAATTTAATATAGACGGGAAAACTCAGCCGCACATGGCAAGAACAAAAACCAACTCCCCCGGGCATTCCCTAAACGGGACGCAACCAAATGCGTGCGAACACGCTCTCTACATCACCGCCAGACCGCTACGCCATGACGAAATAAACCCAACAACTGAACAGTGCTAACAAACAGTTAGTAAGAAAACACTGAAAAAAAAAAAAAAAAAAAACGTTCAGAAAAAACCGCACTTGAGAAACAAAGTTCAGCGGGGCGAAGAAACACACACGAGTCGGTCCCACGACATTGAAGTCTGGCAGGATGACGGCGTCCAGATATAAGGACAGAACGAGCGGGTTGGTGGGGATAATTAAACTTAAACACTCCCTTCTCGTTTTCTTCCTCAAGTTTAATAGATAACCCTTCGGTGCTATCGGATCTCCCCGGAGAGAGAGAGAGAGCACGGCCGTTTCAAGGTAAGGATAGGGCGCTCGAAGCTAGGGCAAACAGGCGGTATCGTTTCACGCATGCACGGATGGCTGGTTTCAAATTTCCCCACATCCCTAACGAAACCGGCCCATCTTTGTGTGTGCGTCTGCGGGATTTCTGCCCCGCGCCGCCGGTTTTAGCGCGCACGCGGCGTTGGTTTGGCTGGCAGAACAGTTGTTGACCGTCGACATTGTAAGGCCGTGGTGTCCTCATCCTTTCAGGCAACGATTCCTTTGCTTTCCCTTGTGCAATACTCTGACAGACTCCTCCTGGGTGGCTGTCACTGTTCGCCGCGTCAACGAAACAATCGTACCATTTCACTCCTTGTGACATAGGGTGCGCTGCTCGCTTTACTGTCACGGGCCGTCCCATCTAACACAACGAGCGCGAACGGTCGTGGTCCTCTGCTGGCTCCGAAAGGGCAGGACGTTCATGCAGGCCAATGAGGGCCCCGAATCAAGAAGACGTTTGCCGACTCCTACACGTTAAAAATTTACGACACCTGCTGGTCTGTTAAGAAGTGTTGCTTTCTATTTTTGGAACTCCTCCGATGTAGCTTGCCGCCTATAATAAAATTTAAATATTCAATAATTATATCAGGGTGGAAATACTGTATTTCGTTTTTATGTGGGAACGTTGAAAAAAAAAAAAAAAAAAAACTATTTCCAAGCTTGTGAAGACGCGCAATTCGCAAGTCCATTTCGAGCCGTAAAAACACGTTTTTGTACGATATTGATGCTTAAATGTAGAACATACAAACAAAATATACACTTTCTAGGCTTGATTTTCGTGTAGACAACTATCATATCTATATTTGAACAAAAAATAAAAATAAAAACATGTTTTTTTTTTTTTTAGAAAATCAATTTCAAAAATGGTACTTTTTGATTTTCTCATAATATTAACGTAAACGTACCGCAAAGGATATTTTATACAGCCAAGGCATTTTATAATAAATATAAAGAGCGTGTTTTGGGCTCTTCGTGGACATAAAAAATATCGATGTAACCCAAGTAGATCGCCAGTAATTAATTGTGAAAGTTCCTCAACAATTGACCGAGGAGGCGTTTTTGACATTTTTACAGAAAAAAAGCAAAAGGCCTAAAATTATTTCATGGTATTGGAGCCTTTTAAATGTGTCCACAGAGTGCTTCAAAAAAATAATATAATGTGGACTGAAAATCCATGGCGGGAGATCAAGCGAAACATCCGACCCACGACGGGTGTGAAAAACACTGCTTTTCGCCGCGGCCTCTTTAAAAATTCATAAGTCGAGAACAAAAAATCCGACGAACTTGCGGTTTGCGTCGACTGCGGTTTTAGAAACGGCGCCATAACATATATTTTTTTCATCGAAATTAAAAATTCGACCCTTTTTGCCTGCACGATTTGAGATGAAACCACCCATATATCATGCCAACTCGGGTCATTTAGGCCTCCACTGCAGAGCGTGTGGATGTTCTCCCCTCCTAGACAAATGCACCATACTGGGACAGAGCAGGGACAAAACGACGCGGGAAATAGTAGAAACCGCTAACATTGTAAGGCTAGATAGGATATGTGTTAGCACTCCTTCGCTAGCCTTAACGGAAAAAGAGCTGAACTATATAGAAAAAGCACAGTAGCAACGTCCGCTGTACAGGGAATTCATTACTTTTTTCCTTCTATATTTTTTCTTCCTTCTATATTTTTTCTTCCTTCTATATTTTGTTTTTAATCCTTTCTCTGTTCTTGCCTTTTCTCTTTTTCATATGATCCTTGTTTTTTTTTGTTTCACTGCCATTTGCATCGGAGTGAGTGAAGATGAAGATGAGGCATAATACATTTGAGTTGTCAGTCAGCGCTGCGCGAGTGTTCTTCCTGTGTATGCGTGATTTTCCTTTTTAAGTGTGTCTGATCTTGTGCGCTGTGAAGCATTATCATAGTATATAGGTATATTTATTATATCATTAATATTAATAATGAACAGTAATGGCCCTAGAATTGATCCTTGAGGTACACCATACCTTATATGTTTCTTGCAAAGATTAAAATTTATTAATTTTTACATATTGTGACCTGTCAGATAAATAGCTGCGAATTAAATCCCAAGTTACCATAATATGATAACTTTAATAAAAGAATGTTGTGTTTCATTGAATCAAACGCTTTGCAAAAGTCTAAGAAGATTCCTACAGTGCAGAGTTGATTTTCAACACTACTTATCAGCTTATCCTTAATAAGTAACAATGCCTTTTCTGTCGACTTATTTTTCTGGAAACCGTATTATTGTTTTACAATGATTTTTCTTTTTGTCAGGTAATTTGAAAGTCGAACATTTATAACATGCTCTTGGTCTATAATTATTTACATTGTTATGTGGGCCCCCTTTATGTATTACACACACTCAAGCTAGTTTCATTTTCTTTTTTAATATGCTAGTCAGTGTTGAAGTGTTGCAAATATGTCCAGGGGTCCGGGTACGACTTAAAAAATGAGATACTGCTTTGATCGGTATAGCCTTTAAGCCGTCGGCTCCAGCTGCTGTGTTATTTTTAAAGGCAAATATTAATTATCTCCTCTTCTGTCACAGGGTTACGAAAAATTGAGCTTGCATATCCAACCGAAGGCATGTAAAAATCAATACTATACAGTTGAGGATGCAGCGGGAGAGGCCCCGGAATTTAAGAAATTAGTGTTAAATTTATTAGCCATTGAGGAATTAGGATACAAAACGCCATCAATTAATGCCTCGTTAGGAAGTATATCACGTGGCCGAGTGATAAAGCTCCCTAGGCTATTCCAAATTTTTTTGGGGATCATTTTAAGGATAATTTATTCCCATGATACAACTTATGAGCTTTCTTAATATCTGCATTTAACTCATTTCTATATTTCTTATATTCGCGTAATATTGCTTCATCCCTCGTTTTTATGAAATTATCGTAAAGTTTATCCGATGATTGATTCGTCGGAATCAATCATCAATCAATCTAGGTCACGATAGCTCAGTGAGCTACCGAGATCTAGATTGAGCTCCGAAGACATCGCTTTTGTATTAATTGCGGCTTAGTCAATGCTCCCAAGTTCTTTCTGCTTCCTACTGGCGCCTCTTATTTCCCCGAGTTTCCCACCATACTCCTACAGGAGGCACCTTAGCCGAGGAAAAATTATACTAAAGACAACTCAAGACATCCTGCAGAATTTGATGTCACCCGATTACGCGTTCTGTACCGAAAATAACAAAGGAGGATTTTCCGCTTAACATGGAAGTTGTTTAAAGCTTAGTGAACCGTAACCAAAGACAACAGATTTGGAACAATGAGTATTCCGAACAAGGCCAAGATCGATGCGCAGGAGCAGCCCTGTTTCCGTTGCTATCCGAGCTTGCCATCGCGCTCCTGGCACTGCCCATGTCGAATGCCACCGTGGAGAGAGTATTCAGTCACGTCTCCCTCACAAAGTCAGGCCTAAGGAAGAACATCTCCCTTCCAACTCTTCAAAACGTCCTCTATGTAAAGCTTGCTTTCCTTGGGAAGAACGAGTGCTGTAGGGACATCACGTACCCTTCTGAAGAAGTTTTTGTCCGTTTTAACACGGAAATCATGTATGAGGCGAGTAAGCTAGGCACGAGCGAGTGCTTCACATCTATGTGACTGTAAAAAAACGTGCGTGGAAAATTTTTGTACTTTTGTGTTTGAAATAAAACGTTCGATACATTTCAAAATATCGTAGATCTTGCAAGCTGCTCCTAAACCCTAGGTATGCAGAAGCGGTGCTTTTGAATTGAGCTCGCGCATTCGAGCTCACGATTTTCCGGGCTCTGCAGAAGATGGCTACTTTTGGGCTACATAAATCTCTTGCATTGGGCTACTTTTGGGCTACACCGTCTGGCTTTTGGTGGTTTGAGCTAGACCTGGCAGCAACCCTGCCCACGAGGCAGTTTCATGCGGCCCCCGACACCGGCACGACACCACAGAAAGAGCCCCCCCCCCCCCCCCCTCCTTTTTTTTTCCCTCAATGACCACGTGACAGTTTTGACATCAAATGGGGCTAGACATGCGAACAAGAAGCACTCCCAATTAGCATTGTCTGGCATCCCCATACTTGGACAGAGAACGTTTCCACTTTCTTTTGTCTTCCCTTCCCCCCAGCCCCTTAGCGACATACCGTCTGGCCCCTCGATGTCGGCTTCGTGACGACTGGGCCGCCGCTGCTAAAGGTTGCCGACCCCTGCTTTAGAGTATGGTTACATCATGGTGGTGGGCTAGCCCACCGTACTTTAATTAGGGGATAACAATAATACTGTTTATTAGCTCAGGAGAGCCGCGGCACCGCAGAATGGCAAAATACCATGAAGGCCCGCGGTGTCGCGTCTCTACTCTGTTTCACCTTGTGTTGTACCGCAGGAAAGGCTACAAACGCGAGCTTCTAGCTCTATGGCACACCTCGGCGGCACAAGCTCTCGTGCACCAAGGGCAGCTGCCAACGCTATGAGCTCGCGCTTCTAGCCTTTGCTGCGGTACAACATAAGGTGATTACGTGATGATGATGATGATCTGCAAGATGAAAGTGCATGGTGAGGAAAAGACTCGAGATCAACCCCATTCACCCGTGAATCCATTCAGCGGAACAGTCGACCAAAAGAATCCAAGCCAAGTAAAGAGCCTCGAGCTCCGCTCGTGGCTCGGGCCCGCAGCCCAGCCGAACCAGGGGCTACCCGTCGGTGCGCGCAAGAGCAGCGCCAGCCTGGACCGGCTGTGGGATGCCGTTAACTGCCCGTGGGTAGGGCATGACCGGCCTGCCCTCGGTCGTCTGTACCGTGGTCATACTTCTTCGCGTCGCCTTCACGGCCGCGGGAGGCATGTCTCGCCGACGCGTCCAGCAGGCCGTCTCCAGGTGAGCTCGTCACCGCCCTCCGCGTCGCCAGGGGGGCTATGTTGCGCTTTTTGCACTCCCAGGAGACTTGGAAGAGGGAAGTCACGTCAACGATACAGCAAACGCAGATTGGATGTTGACAGAGAAAACAAAATCAACATCCAATCTGTATTTGCTGCGTTGTCGACGTCACTTCCCTCTTCCAAGTCTCCTGGGAGTGCAGAAAGCGCAACATAGCCCCCCTGGGGTGCTATGTTGCGCTTTTTGGACTCCCAGGAGACTTGGAAGAGGGAAGTGACGTCAACGACTATAGCAAACGCAGATTGGATGTTGACAGAAGAAAACAAAATCAACACCCAATCTGCGTTTGCTGTGTCGTTGACGTCACTTCCCTCTCCCTAGTCTCCTGGGAGTCCAAAAAGCGCAACATAGCCCCCTGGTGTCACTATACATGGATGGTGAAGATCTGGTGCTGTGCACCATATTTTTGGCAAGTAACGACAAGAACGCGCGTGATGAAGCACGTTTTGCGGTCGAAACATGGCGTCTTTCAGTTCTTTCTTCTGCTGACACGCCGACATTTCCTTCCCAAAATCTGCCCCGTCACGTTGCTGAAGTGAAGCACCTGCGCATATGCCGTGCCAACAGCAGCTCCCACACAGCAGCCTTACGTCACAACCGCGTGTTTTCTATAGAATGAAATACCGCGGAAGCTCCTCAAATGTACTGCTATGAGTCTGCTTCCTCTTCAGCGTTGCGAAGCTCTTGTTTTGCAGCCGGGCAGCATACAAAGGCGTAAAATTGTACACATTCGTGCATTTTTTTTTTTTTTTAGGGGCAAAGCGGGGCGGACATTACGACTCATCCCAGCCAATCCAGCTATGTGAACTGTGCACATGATATATGCTTTCCGCGTGTCACTTCGCTTCTTCGCGGAGGCTACATCTCTCATCCACTGCTGGGAGACAAGTTGCCCGCAGACTACATTCCATGCTGTATAAACATACACAAACCCCAGTTTTCTCGAAGGTCACGGGAAAACTCTCACGGCCTTCGATTGGCTCCGATGCCTCGCATCCGCTGTGTCTTTGAGTAAGATGAAACGGAGCTATAGTACCATCCTTGGCAGCTACGTGCCTATATTAAGAATACTATGACAACACTCAAGGAAACTTTCCCTCCAGGGATACGTGTTCGCGGGCGGGCGAAGGCCTCCGTACCGCCCTGGAAAAAGCGCAGCACCTTCCGCTACCGCAGCTCCTCAACCGGATGCTCAAGGAGTCGTCCGGCCAGTCTGACTCGGGCCCCTTGCAGCTGGTCGTGCTGGACGACGACGCGGATGACACTGTAGTCCTTGAGGACGGCACCGCCTGGAAGCCGTACCGGGAGGTGGACGAGGTACGGCTCATCCGCTTCAAATAGCACCCTTTTACACCCTTAAAACGCGAAGGATGTTCCACGCGGCAGCCCCACTCTTAGGGTTAGAAAGGGTGTATTGCTGGAAATAAGGGTGCTGAAAGCGTGTAGCCATGGGTGGGAGTCTCTGAACACCCTTTTTACACCCGGGCGTAAAATTTATTTCAATGCGCATTGACATCGGATTTCGTGGTTTGCAGGTGAAAGCGGCTGGCGAGTACGTCGGGATCCTTCCCGAGACCAAAGCAATTTCGCCAGATGCAGACGACAACGCGGTGATCGACACTACACGGGCCAGGTCACCCGTTCCTCCAGTCCTCGAGAGGGACCTTCAAGCGGACGTCTTCGAGGTGGACAACGCGATCGACAAGGCGGGTAGCCCTGGCGCGCGGGAGCTCGGAGACTTCAAAACCAGAAGTCCTCAGCATGTTGCCACGTCACCCCCGAAAGACGTTGCCATTCAGCCCAGGCCTGACCTCGGGCGAAGTCTTCAAGACGGACGTTCCGAGGCCGTCTGCGAGCAGAAGTCTGCCAAGACCTCTCTGCCGGACGTCCGTTCCCGTCTCCAGGATGGGACCGCATCGGTTCCTCCAAGGTCCCTCCCCGAAATCCCTAGAGCCACCCAAAACGAAGGGAACACTTTTGAGGCCGTACCCACGAAGCCTCAGCTGGAGGACGTCTCTTCGTCGAATGTCGCGGTCCTGCTCGGTCCTTTACAGAAGGACATCTCTTCGAAGTCTCGAATTCAGAAGGCCATTTCCTCGGACGTGGAGGACACCGAACAAGTCTCTAATCTCGATGTAGTCAGGGCCTGTTCCCCGGATGCTGGGACGCTAGTTAACGCAAAGTCCAGGTCAGAAGACAGCATGAGCCACATAGAAGATAAGCTCGAACAACACAAACTTTACGCCGACGCTTCAGTCAAATTGCCCGCGGTATCAATACCGGTGAAATCGTACGAGCCAGCTTTGAGGGCTCGTTCCACGGTAGCGGTGAAGAGCCAGATGTTGCAGACGGAGCACGGGGGGTATCAGGTGTCATCAGTCGGCACACAAACGGCATCGGATGGCAAGGCAACGGCCTGGTACACGTTTTCACGGAGACCGCCAAAAGCAGGTGGCGGCAGCGCTGTCAGCCTTCTTCGTCCTATTGTATTTTTACCTTTGCTACGCGCTGGTCGCCTGGGCAAAGGAATTCTACGAGACGGATATCCGTGAGGACCTCGACTTTCTTTAGCAAGCCAAGTCACTGGCGATTCTGTCGAGTTAGCGCCAAAAAGAGAGAAAGGAGGTTGGCTTAACAACACCCCCATCCACCCGATTTTTTATTAAAAACAAAAAGAAAACAAACGTCGTCACATTTGGTATGTACCGCGGCAAGCGTTAGAAATGTGAGCACATAGCTTCCGAACGTGCTTCTGTTGTATGAAAGTTCGTGGAGTTAAACGGATACGCTATATCTTTAAAGAGACCATGAAATGATTTCTCAACTTCTTCTTCGGCTTTGACCCTCAACTCAAAAGCGAAATGAAAAATATCCCGTGGTCGGGAAGCGCTTTGGCACCGGAGGCAATGACTCCAAGTTTCTACCATGCTTTTTAAGCACGGCATGGAACGATGGAACTTCGGTTCGGCTGATGTGCTTTGGCAATGCGGATGCATCACAGCGAAGAGGAGAAGTTTCGAAGGAAAAAAAAGTACGAAATAGTCCGCTATATCTTTTTAAATTTCGACCCGAAAAACAGGGTTTAGGCTTTTTACGCTCGTGTACTAGTTTTATTTTGCCGCACTAAACTATATATCCGATTAGTGAACTCCCAGTTTATCCTAGCCGAAAATCTGTTTCA